CAGTGCTGCCACTGGTTCAGCTCATTCCCCCCCCCCCCCGTTACCACTTTTCTAGGATGGCCGCGTACCACCTGCCAGGTGCCAATGTACCACAGGTGGTACCCGTACCACTGGTTGAAAAGCCCTGCCCTAATAAACTGATTTTAAATGATCTTCCAACTTGGTTGCTTATTGGGAAATTAAACTGAGGCAGAACCTAGGGCCAGATTTGGCTAGGTATATTTTTCTAATCAATTGTTTGACATATGTGAGTGTGCACTTATTATTTTTTTTTTACAGGGGGTCCACAAAAAAGTCAACATGACTCATCTTTTCTTTTCTTTTCTTGCATGCTTTATAGGGGACACCTGCAATCTTGACTTTTTTGATCAATAAATGTCAACATGACAGTATAACTATGTGATTGAAGCCCTGGCAAGTTACACAGGCCTGTAAAATGGGTCAGTTTTGATTAGACACTCAGAACTGCCATGGTGAGTTTTTTGAGTCGCTGCCTCTGTTTGACCCTGATCTTCATCTTCCTAATTGAGTTCTAGTAAGTCTGGATGTAGTTGCTTCCTGAACTTCTATCAGGGATAAGTTGAGTATGGAGGTAGTGCTCCTTCTCTTTTATTTGAAATCTAGGTAAGGCAAAACAAGAGATGCCCCTCCTTTCATGGTGGTTGTTTACAAGTAGTTTTGGAGTGCTACTATAAACCCAATGCTAGCATAACAATTAATAAAAGCATTTTATTTTAGTAAATACGACAAAATAGATAGTTGGGGAGTTAGATAGCTGAACCAAATTATACTAGACTGCCTACAAGTGCCAGCAATTAATCAAGCAAACAGACAAACTTAGAAACAGGGATAACCATGAGAATGAAGGGAAATCTACAGAGCAGAATCAAACAGTTCTGAAAATAAAGAAATAATCCCTGATGCTTTTGCTTATATTTTCCCTGCCTATTCTGTACTTTTAATTCTAGTACTTTCAGAACTTGAGTACCACGAAAAATCTGCTCCTTCAGCCCTTCCTACTGCTCTCAGAAATCTACTGCCAATTTTGACTAGGAAAAAAAAACTTCTACCTGCCTCCTCCAGCATGGAAAGGGACAGTAGCTTTTGCAGAAATATCTGTTTTGTAGAAAGAAAAATATTATTTACTTAGTCTTGCATATAACATGAAGATCATCCCATCCGCTATCAGTGTTATCACCTCCATCCAGTACCAGTATTTCTCAAACTCGACAACTTTAAGACATGTGGATTTCAATTTCCAGAATTCAATGCCCAACACACTGGCTGGGAATTCTGTAAGCTAAAGTTCAGTGTTTCTTAAAATTGCTAATTTTAGGAAACACTGCATTATATTATTTAACTTCTCTCTGTGCATTTTTGCTATTGATTCATATAGCAACATAGAACTGCATTATTTACAAATTTTAAAATGTGGTTAGAAACCACTCCTTGCAGTATATCAAGCACTGGACTATTTTCCAATTTTCGCTTTGCTAGGCAGGGACCAAAACAGAAAGCTGATGCACAATGCTCATGACTATGCTCCTTTTATTTTTTTTATGTTGTCAGTTGTGGAAACATGGAGTACTATGATTTAGAAACTTAATAGAAATATATACCATAAGTTTAGAAGTCACCCAGTTAAAAATGCTAAGTATTTAAACAATTGTATTTGTTCAGTAATAAAACAATGAGCATAGTATCTAGATTCTAGAAAATAAATGCAAATGCATGCAAAAGAAAAATTAAGATTCGTTAAACAGGATTCAGAGATCTAGAATTTATTCTTATTTTCAGCCAGTGAATGGAACATTGTGGCATCTATTCAGTTAGCAATCAAGACATGGTACACACACACACACACACACACACACACAGATACATACATACATACAAATATATACTTGCCTGTACTAGACAACCTGCAATTTGTTGATCATGCTTTGAGCAAAAGATTGTACAGTCTGATGTAACAAGAATGAGCATTAAATTTATATGATTTGTATTGGTATTAGTTTGGTTTGAAAATTAACCTTGATTCCAAAATTGTCATGGCATACTGCTAAAGCAGGAGCAACTTCTGACTTCCTCCTGGCTTCCCCATTGACTTTGCTTCTGAGAAGCTGACAGGGGTGTTAGAAACCACAATTTCATGACTGTGGGAATGCTGCAATGTCCAGAACTTTGCAAATAAAAGTGGTGTGGACATGATGTAAATTTCAGTTCCACAGGAGTAATAGGTCCCAGATTTGTTGTTCATTCTTTAAGTTAGACAACTGCATTCAAAAATTGTTTTGCAATAATGCACCTTGTTAACTGGTTGGTGCAAACAAACGAACAGTAATATATAGATATAGCCAATTCCAAGCAGCAAACATACCTTATTAATTCAACCTTCTATTTTCCCCAGAACAAGAATTGTGATGTGAGTTGAACTGAGAGAGAGAGCAACCTGCTCAAAGTCATTCAGATGGTTGTCATGCCTAAGCGAGGCCTCCTAATGTTTCTAGGCCAGCACCTTTAAAAGTTGTTGAACTGAACAGTCTGAATTCAAGTACTAAGTTTCTTCCCAAAAATTTCTGCAAATGTATGTAAGGTATGGTAATTTTACTAAGACCTAGTTTGGTACAATGATAAAAAGTACCAACCTAGAAACAAACTGTGAGTTCCAGTCCCATTTTAGGCATGAAGCCAGCTGGATGACCTTAGGCCAGTCACTTTCTCTCATCTCTGAACACAATTTGTCCAGACAGTCACCAGGAGTCAATACTGACTGAAGGTACACCCACACACAACCACACACACACACACACACACACACACACACACACACAGAGAGAGAGAGAGCATTGATAGAATTGTAATAGAAAAATACTAAGAAATAAGATAGAATTAAAAAAATTGTAATGGAAAGTATTGAGTGATTTCCTGATGCAATGTAGGTGAATATATTACCTGACACACATATAGCCACCACATTGTCACCCACAAATACACATATACATACTAGAAAATGAGCAAATCCTTTTGGTCTGTTAAGAATGATGAAAATCCTTCTTACAGAGTTAAGATGGAGAACAAGTTGGAAAAAACCTAAACATATTGCTAAACTATTTGAGAGGAGAACTTAGGCTACTCTTGTTAAAAACGTGTCATAGTCACTTCAATCCCCGTCCATTGCTGATCCCTAAAGTTTCTTCTTCCTCTTCCTTGTTGCTGTAGTTACTATACATCCACCCTCAACAAAAATATAATCAATGGTAGCAGTGGCAATATTTTTATTTGTTGTGTGCTTATATACTGCACGTGCACTATAGAAATAACAATGAAGTTACACCATAGTTTAAACATGGCAATCTAGGGAAGGGATAAATGAGATTTTCTTTGTGAGTCTATCTCTTACAAATAGCAAAAAGAATAGAATTGTATCCAGTGTCTACATAAATGTTAGAAGCCATCATAAAAACATTGGTTTTAAATTTAGCTTTTGTTTATTCATATTTCATATAAAAATCTTTGGGCTGCAGCTTTGTGGTTGAACACATTGTTAGCATGCATCAAATACAGATTAAGAATTCTCAAAAAGGATGAACTGATGTTCAATTAGCACATATGGAGGAGGAATCAAAATCATAGTTTTGCTTCAGGTTTAGGATGATGAGACCCTAAAAGTAGTTCACATGGAGCCTCAATCAGATTTCAAAGAGCTTTGATAACTTGGCTAATGTACCTGGCCAGCATACCTGGCTTTGATAAAGGCAGCAATTATGCTACATTTATCCAGGCATGAACCACCATTTTAATTCCTTGCATTGTTCTTGATAAAACATGGTGTTTTCCTGTGATTTACCTATGGTTAAGTGAGCTGTCTAAATCTGAGTACCATCATTTCTGTTTTAGAGTGAACAAAATTTAAGGCCAATATCTATTCATGATCTCATTTGCATTTGCCAAAAATGATGGCACCTCTGGTTTGAGATAAGATGCTTAATTACAGGAGAACTATAATATGTGGATAAGCAGCTACACAAAAGTTACATTGATATGCATTTGTATTGAAAATGCTTCAGAAATATATGACATTGAAAAGCAAGTGCTCTCTCTTTTCATGGGCTCCAGTTTTAATTTCCTTCCAAAATAAAATTCTTCGTATGAGAGAGAGGGAGGGAGGGAAGGCTGGCCAGATTCCTCTCTTCATAGACCAAGCACCTATGCTCCTTGTCTGCCTTATTCAATTATGACTCAAAGAACGGCTAGAAATTGTGAGAGGACCCCAGATTAGAAGAATCTGCTCCAGGCTTTTCTCTTGTTTCCTTGACTCCCTGCTGTATCAGTGTGATTTCAATATTGTAAATAGGCTTCTTTTTCAGTTTTTTCTTGCCAAAGATTAACATGTCACCAGCATTGATTTCAGGTTTAAAGAGATCCTTGTTAAATTGCTTGGCCAGAACTTAAGTCTGAAAGAAGGAATTCATTAGCAACCATTCCACAAATGTGAGAAAGAGAACAAAATTCCAATTTTTCCTGATAAGGAAAAGAGTTGGAGAAAGTGTAACTGGAGGAGCTGGAGAGCCAGAATGCCTGTCCCTGTTGCCAGATTTTGTAGTAAAGTGTAACTTGCCAGGAGGGAAAGTCTGTTACATAAAGTGGCTGCATGAATTTTGTAAGATTATTGCTGAGCAAAGATGAAGAACATCTTTATGCCAGAGCCACCCAGGTTTATTTTAGGTCCGTCTGGTTCTTCTTTTCTTGCCACTCTAATTTCAGTTCAGAATTTCCTGGGATGGTTCAATGATTTCTAAATCATTTCTTTCTTTCTTTCTTTCTTTTCGGTGACATCTATTTAAGTTACTTACAAAGCAAGATTCATTCCTTCTAGCAAGCAAGCAAGGATCTTTGACTGATCTTTGATCTTTAACAGCCCAAGAAGCTGCCCAGTTAATAGGTCAACAACCCCTCTAAGGTCAAAGATTCCAGGGCAAAGACAATGTTTTTCTCACCTTGAGCATCAGAGCTTTTCGTTCCTCTTCAGAGCTGAGTTCATCTCCTTGTCCCTGAGCTGCACTGAACAGTATTCCCAGGAGCAGTAGCTGCATCAGAGACCAAAGCTCCATGGTGTTTCTTTCTCTGCACAGATTTGTCCAAACAGTGGAAGAGGATACCAATTCTCTTGAATTTGCAGATATAGAAAAAGTATGAGTCTTCTTTTTTATCCTGGAATTCACTGCTGTCTGCCCAATCAGGCGTTGGGGCAGAAATGAGGAGGGAGGAACAAAGCTGCAGCCATCCAAAAGCTGGAATGTCTAATCTGATCCAGATGTGGGAATATGAAGCCAAAACCTCACCCACACTGAACCTCAGCTCAGAACTGCCTGTGAGTTGTCACCTGGCCAGTTTAAATTTACATTTTTCCTTTTCATAGAATACAACTTCATGATGGCTACTATGGCAATGGTGATGATGGTTCCTAGAATTCAAGGAGAGTTAATCTCTGTGACGCAGAATAATGTAAAAAATGCATTTTAGTTGGAAGATCCTGCATTTAATTCAAGAAAGACAATCAATTTTAACCTAGTAATTTGAAAAGGAGCAGTGCAAGTGGGAGTATAGAAAAAGGTATCATGGCAAGCCAGTCCAAAAGGCAAAGAACAACACAATACAAAATATGCAAGTCTGACCTTCCAATAAGAAATGGTCATGCTGTGTGTGGTTCTCTCAAAATATATTACAAATGTAAGAGCTTTTGTGTATATGTATTATTAGTTGTTTCTTTGTAATTAGTTGGTGGAAAATGGATGCTGGGCAAAATATGTTATGTTTTTTTTTAATCCTTCCATCAGTATAGAAAAATCTGGTTAAGTACAGAAGACATATTACAGTCCTCAACCCATGCCCTTTTATCATTTATATGCTGGTTTTTTCTTGGGCTTTTATTAGCTATTTTACTCTCATTTCTTGCAGTTCGTGTGCTACTATGTTATGTATGTTGACATATAGTATATTATAACTTTTAACAAGGCAAACACCTTTAAATATGTAAAATTATTTTTGCAACGTTTTTCTCCACCTTCCTCATTTTGTTCCATTTCCTCTCATTTCAGGAAGGTGGTAATTGGTCAGTTGTTATCTTGAAATAGTGGGTGCTTAATTTTAATTGCATAATTGTAAATAACCATGTTTTTAAAACTTTAAAACCTGCATATATTTATTCATCCATCCTTCCATTGATTATTATTATTATTATTAATAATAATAACAACAATAATAATAAAGTTGGAAGGGACCTTGGAGGTCATCTAGTCCAACCCCTGTTCTGGCAGGAAACTCTATACCAGGGCTTTTCAACCTTTTTACCCATTGTACCACTTTTAGGATATGGCAACATCCGAGTACCACCAGTCGCCTAGCAAGGTGTCAAAAACTTGATGACCCAATTCTATTAATAGAATTGGATTCGGAAATGGATTTAGTTAAAGATTGTATGGTAAAATGGGCCCAAAATATTCAAGAACCGATTCCATTGGATATATGGGAGGTAATTTGGGTTAGAAATGTAAAATTTACCCAGCCCCAAAATTTAAGAGAAAATTTTTACAAAATGTTTTATAGATGGCATCTGGATCCTAAAAAGTTGTCTTGTATGTATCCTAATTTACAGCCCAAATGTTGGAGATGTGGTAGCTTGGATGCTACTTATTTTCTTATCTGGTGGACTTAGAAATATAAAAGCCTTTTGGATTAAGATTTGGTGGAACATTCAAAAGATTTTTAGGAGAAAGATAAAGTTTACTCCACAATTATTTTTATTGGGTGTTATTGTAGATTGTGATGTTAAAGAAATTAATTTGATGTTGAATTTGATAACAGCTGCAAGGTTATTGGTAGGGCAATATTGGAAGAAGGATTATTTGCCTACTATAGAAGAATGGACTCTTAAAGTGTCAAATTTAGCACAAATGGTGAAAATTTCTGCTTACTTGAAGGATCATTCACAAGAAAGATACATTTCGGTCTGGAGAAGATGGATAGATTATATTCAGAATAAATATGGGTCTAAAAAGTTCCATCTAGTTTCTGAGTAAATTTTAGAGTATTATTATTATTAATAGTTTATTATAGTAGGATTTTTATTAGTTTTATTATTATTTTTAGTATTAGTATTGTTAACAATTTGGATATTGTATTATTTAATAATATTGATTTGTTTATATTATTATGTTTATTTTTAATTTGTTTATACCTAAGTTAAAGAGGAGTTAAAGTGCATTATGGACTTGGTTATTTATATAGTTGGTTAATGTTAGTTAGAGTTTGATTATTATATTTGTAACCCTGTACTCAGCTCTGGGAAGTGGGGGAGGGAGAGGGGGGGTTTAGGGTGGGTGGGTTTTGGGATGTATACTGTAATTTTTATAAAACTTTTCAATAAAAAAAAACTTGATGACCCAAAAAAAGGAAAAAAGTGATAAAGTCCTCAACTTACAACAGTTCGCTTAGTGACTGTTCGAAGTTACAATGGCACTGAAAAAAGTACCCCCCAGTGCTGCCACTGGTTCAGCTCATTCCCCTCCCCCACTACCACTTTTCTAGGATGGTCACGTATCACCTGCCAGGTGCCAATGTACCACAGTTGGTACACGTACCGCTGGTTGAAAAGCCCTGCTCTATACCATTTCAGACAAATGGCTGTCCAGTCTCTTCTTAAAAACTTCCAGTGTTGGAGCATTCACTGCTTCTGGAGGCAGGTTGTTCCACTGGTTAATTGTTTCACTGTCAGGAAGTTTCTCCTTAGTTCTAGGTTGCTTCTCTCCTTGATTAGTTTCCATCCGTTGCTTCTTGTCCTGCTTTCAGGCACTTTGGAGAATAGTTTGACTCCCTCTTCTTTGTGGCAGCCCCTGAGATATTGGAACACTGCTATCATGTCCCCCTTGTCCTTCTCTTCGTTAAACTAGACATACCCAATTCTAGCAACCGTTCCTTATATGTTTTAGCCTCCAGTCCCCTAATCATCTTTGTTGCTCTTCTCTGTACTCTTTCTAGAGTCTCAACATCTTTTTTACATCGTGGTGACCAAAACTGGATGCAGTATTCCAAGTGTGGCCTTAATACTTCATGTGATCTTGATTCTATTCCTCTGTTAATGCAGCCTAGCACTGTGTTGCTTTTTTGGCAGCTGCACCACATTGCTGGCTCATATCTAAGTGATTGTCCAGTAGGACTCCGAGATCCCTCTCACAGTTGTTATTATTGAGCAAGGTACCCCTATACCAGCGGTTCTCAACCTATGGGTCGCGATCCCATTTGGGGTCGATCGACCATTTTTCGGGGGTCGCCAAAGAAGGCGATCTGCCATTTTCTCTCCTCAGGGGGCGCCGCCGTGCATGCGCGCCGCGCATGGGGGCGATGCCGTGCATGCGCGCCACACATGGGGGCAGAGCCACGCATGCGCAGAACGTTTGTGTGACGGGGGTCGCCGTCACACAAACATTGAGAACCACTGCCCTATACTATACCTGTACATTTGGTTTTTCTTGCCTAAATGTGGAACTTTATTTTTTTCATCATTGAATTTTATTTTGTTAGATAGTGCCCAGTGTTCTAGTTTGTTCAGATCCTCCTGTATCTTAAGCCTATTTTCTGGAGTGTTGGCTATTCTTGCCAGCTTGTGTTGTCTGCAAATTCATATAGATTTGTTCATTAATTTGTTAGATTTCCTTCTTTCCAAAAACTCAAGGCAGCATTATAAGTAGTCCTCATTTAGCCTCACTTAGCAGCTTTTTGCATTTACAATGAATGAAAAAATAACTTCACAACCAATATTTGCCTTTACAAGCTTTGCAAGTCTGTAAAATAAAAGAAAGTTCTAAATAAGATCATAAGCACCATTGTATTTTTATTTAGTGGCCACTTCACTTATGACCAGGTTGCCAGCCCCAAGTGTGGTCACAAAATAACTACAATATATACAAATGAGAGGCTAAGTGATGAAGCATGCATAAGTAATGTTATAACCAAAGTCTTTCCCTTACATATTTGCAAACAACATTGCAATGCAAATATAAAAATGTAGGGCTTTCATTATGACATCATAATGCATATTTCTCAATTTTAGCATCATCATGAATAATTATGGGATACCGTAGGTATGGTGCCTATGGATATCATGTTTTAAGGACAGAGATGTGAAATTACCTTTGTGATTTCCTTTTCTTCTACAATTTCAACAGTACATTGCCAACTTCTGGCATGAGTTTCCATGGTAAACATAAGTAATAAAGCTTTCAAAATCTGTCTTCTTGTCCTATGCATTGGCATAAGGCATTTGCTCAAATTAAAAATTCAGTAAATATTGTGATGGATTCATTATATCTGTTCTTGGAGCAGCAGTTATTCCTAAAAAACAATACCAGCCCAGAGATGCTTCAAAACAAAAGAGGTTCCAGGATAACCTGCCTTCACACGGTCTCTCCCATCTTCTCCTGGAGGATATTTCACTCCAGTTATGACTATTGGAAGTACTGTAGTGCCAGTTAACAGTTAGCTCTCACCATATTTGAGGCTCTTCTCTGCCAGAACGACAGCTTCCATCAGTGAAATGAATGGAAAAAAGGAAGGCAGCTGCTAACAATCTCTCTGACAACCTGGGTCCCAGTCTTAATGACGACAGCCTTTGGCACTGTAATTTTAATGGCTGTGAGTTACTTTAGAAGTCAATTTTGGCACAAAAGCAAGGCTAATATAATTAACATAATATATCAAATGTCTATACCATCCAAGATATGTCTGCATATCATATCCATGCAATAATTGGCTATAATACCTTCCTGTTGTGTATTTGTATATGATTCAGTGAGCTCTGTATGTAAATGAGTTTCTGTATCTCATTCTTTAGAACTGAGCAGATAGTAGATCGGGATTCAGGATCGAGTTCTGGGTGAGTCACAGCCAATTACTAAGAATCTTCCAATTGTTTAACCATAGCAACACTTTCCTCTAAGGAAATTAGGTTAGTGAAATAGAGAAACCTAGGGAAAATAATAATGGACTCTGTTTAAAAGAGCTTTCCTACTATTGAAAATATATATTTGCTCTGAACCAAGGTATAAACATGGCCCAGAAACCTTTTCTCTGCCACATCCTCAAAA